TTACAAGGATATCAGAATCGGCCAGCCAATGACCCATATTCCAACACGTATAACCCGGGATGGCGGAACCACCCGCACTTCTCGTGGTCTAATAACTCCAACACCCTTCAGCCACCCCGTCCGAACTTCATGCAACAACAACCTCGACCCAGTTTTGTGCCCCGGCTGAACATTCAGCCACAGCAACAGCAGAGGGGACCAGAAGCGGGATCGAGTTCGAACCTCCATGAGGACGTTGCCAAGATCTTACAGTTCATGGCGAACAAAGAGCAGCGGGATGTCAATAAGGACGCCTCCATCAAGCGCATTGAGACTCAGTTGGGCCAACTGGCCGCTCGGGTGGGTACAATTGAGACTGAGAGGAGCAAAGACAAGCTACCTAGTCAGCCTGAGCAAGCAAAAGCTATAACAGTTCTCAGAAGCGGGAAGGAAAGGGACAACAAGGTTCAGATGCCAGAGCCTGAGGATAAGGAGACCCATTCTGAAAGGATCGAAGAAGCAGAGTCCGGGAAGGTGACAGACGAGCCGGTGTTACATAAATCGCCGAATCCGTATAAGCCGCGCATCCCCTTTCCGGACCGACTTAGGAACGAGAAGCAAGAGAAGCAGTTCCGAGATCTTTTTAACATGCTCTCCAAGGTGAACGTTAACTTACCTCTGCTCGATGTGATTAAGAACATGCCATCATATGGTAAGTTCTTTAAGGACTTGGTGACCAAAAAGAGGAAGTTCGAAGATGGAGAGAAGGTAGTCGTGTATGAGGCGGCAAGTGCTATGCAGCACGACTTGCCCAAGAAAGAGCGAGATCCCGGTGGTTTCATCATTCAGATAGCTCTGGGGAACGAGAAGGTAGCTTCGGGGATGCTCGACCTCGGAGCCGGAATTAATCTCATGCCCTTCTCGATTTTTCAGAGGCTTGGCCTTGGGGATTTGAGGCCAACTCGCATGTGCCTCCAGCTAGCAGACCGTTCCATTAGGTATCCCAAAGGAATAGTCGAGGATGTTCTCGTGAAGGTGGGTAAGCTTATCATTCCAGTGGACTTCGTTGTTCTAGATGTTGGGGATGTGCACGAGAATGGGAAGGATCACACTATCCTTCTCGGGAGACCTTTCATGGCGACGACCAACACTCTCATTGATGTGAAGAACGGGACCCTGAACATGACGGTTTTAGGGGAATCAGTGTCCATTTCTGTCCGAGAAGCCATGTCTTCATCTTCTGTCAATTTCGTAGAAGAATGTGCTTTTATTGATCTTGCTGATCCCTTTGTTGATGAGATTGTATTTCAGGAGTTCGAGAACAAGTCGTTGCCGGATTTTGAGGAGGAGGACGAGCCTTTAGTGGAGCTTTTTGAAGTAGGAGAAGGCCATGCCCGAGCTGAGACCACACTCGAGCTTAAGGAGCTGCCCAAGCACCTTAAGTATGTCTTTCTGGATGACGCGCATCAGAAGCCGGTGATCATCTTTGCTGAGCTCGACAATGAGGAAGAGGAGGAGCTGATAGCCACGCTCAGAAAGAACCAGAAGGCAATCGGGTGGAGTCTAGGAGACATCAAGGGGATTAGTCCCTCAACATGCATGCACCGAATTATCCTGGAGGAAGGAGCCAAACCGTTTCGGGATAGCAAGCGCCGGTTGAACCCGAATATGATGGAGGTAGTGAAGAAAGAGGTGCTTAAGTTGTTCTCTGAGGGATTGATCTATCCAGTGGCGAGTAGTTAGTGGGTAAGCCCTATTCATGTGGTGCCGAAGAAGGGAGGCATAACCGTGATCGAAAATGACAAGAAGGAGTTGGTCCCCACCCGCAATACTACCGGGTGGCGTATGTGTATCGATTACAGACGGCTGAACGCTGTGACCAAGAAGGACCACTTTCCATTGCCGTTTATTGACCAGATTCTTGATCGTCTTTCGGGCCATCAGTTCTACTGCTTTTTGGATGGGCTCTCCGGCTACTACCAAGTGGCCATAGCACCCGAGGATCAGCCCAAGACGACATTCACGTGACCCTTTGGTACGTTCGCATTCAGAAGGATGCCCTTTGGCCTTTGCAATGCACCGGGTACGTTTCAAAGGTGCATGTTCTCTATCTTCTCTGATATGCTTGAGGACTGCTTGTAGGTATTTATGGATGACTTTTCTATTTTTGGAGATTCATTTTCTCATTGTCTCCGTAATTTATCTCGTATCCTTGAGCGTTGCATAGAGTCTAATTTGACTTTGAGTTGGGAAAAGAGTCATTTCATGGTGAGAAGTGGAGTTGTCTTAGGCCATGTTGTTTCTAGTAAGGGGATTGAGGTAGATAAAGCTAAGGTTGATGTAATTGAAAAACTTCCCCCTCCCGTGAATGTTAAGGGGATTAGAAGTTTCTTGGGGCATGCGGGGTTCTATAGGCGGTTTATTAAGGATTTTTCTAAGATTAGTCAGCCTTCATGTCATTTGCTTGCTCAAGATGTGCCATATGTTTTTGATGATGCTTGTGTGTGTGTTTGGAAACACTTTTGAAATGAGCTTCTAGACTTAAAAGTCCATCTGAATAATTTT